GGTAAGCCGAGATATGTTCCGGAAAGACTAGTCACACGGTTGTTTGTCAGTGGTGTCGGTCGAGCCAAGGTATGCTCGGGAGAGACCACCTAGCAACTTTGTTTGTTGATGGTGTCGAGCTGAGATATGCTTGGAGAAGGCGGGTCCCAATTGTACACTTGTACGTTGAGGATGGCGATCCGGGGTATCCGATCCGAATAATGATGACGGGGAAGAAATGAGCCGGTTGTCATGTAAAGGCGACGGTCACCATCCAAGAAGGGATGGCGAGCCCGGTCGCTAGATCAAGACTTCGGCGCTGAGGAGCCGGTCTTTGATATAGAGCATCACATCGAGGCTGAGGGGGCCGATCATGATGCATGTGCAAAGGTACTGGAGGGCCGATCTAAAGATCCAAGCAACGGTCGCCATCCGGGAAGGGATGACTGAGACCGGCCTTGAGAGTATGACGACCACGTTGAGACCAAGGGGCCTGCCGTGTCGATATATAAAAGATCACGTTGAGAGTTGAGACCGAGGGGTCTGCCGTGATGCAAGGACGTCGGCACTGAGGGGCCGGTCCAGAAATCCACGCAACGGTCCTCATCCATGAAGTGAGAGGATGAGACCGGTCTTCAAATAAATGATCACGTTGAGACCGAGGGGCTGCCGTGAGGCAAGGACATCGGCACTGAGGGGTCAGTCCGGAAATCCACACAACGGTCCTCATCCATGAAGTGAGGGGATGAGTCCGGTCTTCAGATAAATGATCACGTTGAGACCGAGGGGTCTGCCGTGATGCAGCGATGTCTCGCTTGGAATACGAGAGGCACGAGGATGTGGGAGATGAGGCAGTTGCTTTGTTCAAATCCCCTTACAGTTTTCGGAGCTCATCACTTCCAGGATTGAAGACCGGTGCCCGGAGTATATCCGAGCTTAGCTGCGGAACAAGGAGGGTTGCAATTGGCTGGCATTATATGCAGACTACCTGTGATGAGGCGAAGAAAATCGGGCAATGATGATCTTGGAGTTGGTCTTTGTAATTGATTTTTCGCTTGAGCTTGTATGTGTGCATCATTTGTTCTTTCAATTTACTTAGCCGTTTTCATTCAAGAATACTTGGAGAACTAATCGGGGATCTGGCTCCCCACCTAGGCCGTGAGGGGCGGAAGGTTGGCAGGGCCGACCTTGACCGCACCCTGCTTGGTAAGGCGGGGCTGACCCACACACTATCGATCTAGGACCGATGAGTGTGCAAGATGTTCGGCCAACGGTCAGACAACGGATGTACGAGAGGGGCTCGGGGCACGACCTCTCGCATACCTTCGACCCGGAGGCCGGTCTTACACCTTGACTTGTACAGCTAGTTTCATACTTAGGAAAAATCTGGTTATCCCTTTCTGAAAGTCAAACTGAAGTCGGCCAAATGTAAGGGCGAGGCCCTGCATGATCAGACCAGAACGGACCCGCACCGCTGACCCTATCAAACGAGTGTGCGGACTGTTAAGCCTAGCAACGTCAGACAATGGATGTACGAGAGGGGCTCGGAGCATGACCTCTCGCATACCTTCGGCCTAAAGACCGGTCATATAGTCGCCGCACCATTGATTGGATCAAACGAGTATGCGAGCTGTTTAGTCAGCAACGTCAGACAACGGATGTACGAGAGGGGTTCGGGGCACGACCTCTCGCATACCTTTTCGACCCGGGGGGCGGTCTTACGGTCGCCCTGACCGAGCAGCTAATCCTAGACTTAGAAAGAAGTAGTTTGATCATTTCCTTGTCCGAGGATCGAGCCGTGGTCGACTAAACACCGAGAGCGGGGCGTTATAGTTTTTTTTTTTTTTTTTTTTTTTTGGCCGCCGCCCGTTCATTTCCAAGTGAGGTCGGACCTCATTAAATTCTAGACTGGAAAACGATTTTTTTTATATTGAAGGAGAGTTCCACACTTGATCTACTAGCTCGTGGTGCTCCGCTCTTAGGCTTTGACAAAGTGCTCAATGCCAGTACTTTGTAGTTTTGATATTGATGGTATGGACCTATCTGTGCAAGCTTGGGCGCACGAGCGCAGAGCATACGGGCGTACACGGTGACAACTACAATGTGCACAACGCTCACTCAAAGCTACGTGATTGTGACTTGTCGGCGCCAGGGAGTATCTTCAGTCTAAATGCAATGCTTGGTCAGAATGGATTGAATCGGAGCTCAGCTATCTTTGACTTGGTTCTCTAGTGATGTGCAGGGCGTACGGCGGTACGGGCGTACGGGTGTCCGGGCGTACGGGAGTCCAGGCATACGGGAGTCCGGGCGTACCGGAGTCCGGGCATACGGGAGTCCGGGCGTACAGGAGTCCGGGCGTACGGGAGTCCAGGCGTACGGGAGTCCGGGCGTACGGGAGTCCGGGCATACGGGAGTCCTGGCGTACGGGAGTCCGGGCGTACGGGAGTCCGGGCGTACGGGTGTCCGGGCGTACGGGAGTCCGGGCGTACGGGAGTCCTCGCGTACGGGAGTCCGGGCGTACGGGAGTCCGGGCGTACGGGAGTCCGGGCGTACGGGAGTCCGGGCGTACGGGAGTCCGGGCATACGGGAGTCCTGGCGTACGGGAGTCCGGGCGTACGGGAGTCCGGGCGTACGGGAGTCCGGGCGTACGGGAGTACGGGCGTACGGGAGTCCGAGCGTACGGGAGTCCGGGCATACGGGAGTCCTGACGTACGGGAGTCCGGGCATACGAGAGTCCGGGCGTACAGGAGTCCGGGCGTACGAGCGCATAGGCGTGCAGGCATACAGGCGTACCGACCCCGGACTTGCGCTCCAAGACAAGGTTGTGCATCTAGACCTCCCGACAGAGACGGGCCTCTCGATGTAGATCGGAGGTTCACGTCGCCGGGTTGAGCCCGTGCCACTAAGCTTCGACGTACGGGCGTACCGACCCCGGGCTTGCACTCCAAGACAAGGTTGTGCATCCGGACCTCCCGGCAGAGACGGGCCTCCTAATGGAGATCGGAGGTTCACGCCGCCGGGTTGAGCTCGTGCCACCAAGATTCGACGTACGGGCGTACCGACACCCCGGCCTTGCGCTCCAAGACAAGGTTGTGCATCCGGACCTCCCGGCAAAGACGGACCTCCTGATGGAGATCGGAGGTTCACGCCGCTGGGTTGAGCCCGTGCCACCAAGCTTCGGCGTACGGGCGTACCGACCCTGGCCTGGGCTTGCGCCCCAAGACAAGGTTGTGCATCCGGACCTCCCGGTAAAGACGGGCCTCCTGATGGAGATCGGAGGTTCACGTCGCCGGGTTAAGCCCATGCCACCAAGCTTCCGGGTTGTCTCGAGACCGAGGAGGTTGCATTAGCGTCCTAGGGTTCTGCTAGTCAACCTCTCCATCTGGTGATAATCAGTCCACGTATAAGCTTTTGTGGTATCTTCCTTTGTTATTGAGTCGTTGTTGCACCTGTCTAGATCTGGCATGTTCCACCTCCTCTCTGCAGTACGTATTAGATAGAGTTCAGAATTCGTCCATCCTTGGCTGAAGCTTTGTCGGTGGATCTGACGCCATTCGTGGCGTCCTGGTTAGAATGTAGTTCCAGGTCAGGCGAGACTGAACTGGAACGCAGCTACCCTGAACTTGGTGAGTTGGAGGACTGGGCGAAGCTAATTTTGCCGTTGGCCGCACACCTTTTCAATTAATTCTAATTTAAATTATTGATTTGATTCACTGATTCAGCCTTTGGTGGACTTTTGAGTCGACCAGGTCAAAATCAGGAGGGTTGCTTGGGAAAAAGAGGTTGGCTCTTCTCTGGACGGTCATCTCCTCCCATCTACGTTTCTGGTAGAGAAAAGACTCAGTTGACAGGAGCCTACTCATATGCTGAGCCACAGATCGGAGGTCACAACAGTCGAGACGACCTTCTCTGTAGTTTGTGTTGGCAGGAGATGAGTTCTTAGTCGCCGAACTCGGCTATCGTCGCCACGGAAGACCCGCTTCCCACGAACTTGAAGCCTTCATTAATGGCGTCGCACCCTGGTCCGCGAAATCAGGCTGAGAGACCTGCTACTTCGATCTGTTGCAACTCACACTTGCACCTAAAGCTTCACGGTTTATAGGGGTGAGACCGAGGCGGAGATTGACGACATGGCGACGGGGCAGAGGAGAGAGCCGCTGGTGGCGACTTATGACCAATCGTCGTAGCGACCGCCGTGGTGACGGCCGACGGAGGCGAGGGCTCCTGCTTTGCTAGAGACGATGATGACTACAACCTTGACTGGAGGTTCCGGCGGCTCCAACTTTCCAGGCCTAGGAGTCCAGATTCTAGCCGTCTTTGCGTAGCAGGGGAGTGGGGCGATACACCCGGCTGTATTTTCTTTTTGTGAATGTCATCAATTTGTGATTTTCTGGAGCGATTTTTACTCCATTGCTGTTCGGATCTTCCCAAGTTTCTACCAAAAAATACGAGAGACTAGCTCTCAATGAAAGCACCAATGTTGGTAGAAAATAACCCGGGTAGAGAATTTGGCAGCATTTCAGTATAGTGAGAATAGCTTTTTCAGAATATAAGGGGTTGGTGGCCTATTTATAGGCATACACAATAGCCCACCAATTAAGTGTTGCATGGGCTTGGCCCGATTTATCAACTAACATTGACGCTAACGGGCCAGCCAGCCCGATATGTAAATAAATAATCTCGGACCAATATCCGCTAGCCGGGCTGTGCTCTGAGCTTGGTCGGGCCAAAGCATGGGCGTAACGGGCCAATAGTCTTGGACCTGGCCCATTATCCCAACAATAAGAATAATTGAACTTAATGCATCATAATTTTAAAAAAAAGAATGAACTTAATGCATCTTAATTTTAAAAGATAATTGCTCATTAAGAGTGATTTTAGAATTCTTGATCATTCCTTGGACTCCTTCATTAGCATCCTGTTCGAATTGGACTCGCTTTATTAGCACCCTAGTTCGGTTCACGTATTGAATAATTTAATTTAATTAATTTAAAGAAGGAATATATCGACGGTCTAGAATGATCTAAAATCCGCTAAAAAACGAGGTATTCTCTGCGCGTCGTCAACTACTTTTTTTCGTAAGTCGGCCTAGACGCCTTTATATACCTCGCATACCTTCACCATCTCATTCATCAATCATCTCAATTCTCAATTCTCAATACTCAATTCTCAATAGTCTCTATTTCATATTCTCAGACGTCCTCTTTCAAGGTAAGTTTTTAACTTTTTTTTGTAATGTTCTTGTTAGATCCTCTCATAATCTACGATCTGGTTTAGGGATCTGTGTTTCATTGTTTATTAATCGGTGTGTTTCATTGTTTATTAATCCGTTTGTTTCATTGTTTATTAATCGGTGTGTTTCACTGTTTATTAATCGGTGCCTTGTTCGTTTAATCTTTTGCTGCAATTGCAATTGTGCTTAGGGATCTGAACGAATGATTAATTGAATCACGGTGTATGCGTTGTGTATAATTATCGTTTGAATTTTGCGATTGGTATTCTGCAGATGCAGATCTTTGTGAAAACCCTAACTGGCAAGACAATCACCCTGGAGGTGGAGAGTTCGGACACAATAGACAACGTCAAGGCGAAGATTCAAGATAAGGAGGGAATCCCCCCAGACCAGCAAAGGCTGATCTTTGCCGGAAAGCAGCTAGAGGACGGCCGTACCTTGGCCGATTACAACATCCAGAAGGAGTCAACCCTCCACCTGGTGCTCCGTCTCAGGGGTGGGATGCAGATATTCGTGAAAACCCTTACAGGGAAAACGATCACTCTCGAGGTTGAGAGTTCGGACACCATAGACAACGTGAAGGCCAAGATTCAAGATAAGGAGGGAATCCCCCCGGACCAGCAAAGGCTGATCTTTGCAGGAAAGCAGCTCGAGGACGGCCGAACATTGGCTGATTACAACATCCAGAAGGAGTCAACGCTCCACCTTGTGCTCCGTCTCAGGGGTGGGATGCAGATATTCGTGAAAACCCTCACAGGGAAAACGATCACTCTTGAGGTTGAGAGCTCTGACACCATCGACAACGTGAAGGCCAAGATCCAAGACAAAGAGGGCATTCCTCCAGATCAGCAGAGGTTGATCTTCGCTGGAAAGCAGCTTGAAGATGGTAGAACGCTGGCTGATTACAATATTCAGAAGGAATCGACTCTTCATTTGGTGCTCCGATTGAGGGGTGGGATGCAGATTTTTGTCAAGACTCTTACAGGAAAGACCATCACCCTCGAGGTTGAAAGTTCTGACACCATTGACAACGTGAAGGCCAAGATTCAGGACAAAGAAGGAATTCCTCCGGATCAGCAGAGACTCATCTTTGCGGGAAAGCAGCTTGAAGATGGCAGAACCCTGGCAGATTACAACATCCAGAAAGAATCCACTCTTCATTTGGTGCTCCGTTTGAGGGGTGGGATGCAGATATTTGTCAAGACTCTCACAGGAAAGACGATCACCTTGGAGGTAGAAAGCTCAGACACCATTGATAATGTTAAGGCCAAGATACAGGACAAAGAAGGAATCCCGCCAGATCAGCAGAGACTCATCTTTGCTGGGAAGCAGCTTGAAGATGGCAGGACCCTGGCTGATTACAACATTCAGAAGGAATCCACTCTTCATTTGGTGCTTCGGCTTAGAGGTGGAATGCAAATTTTTGTGAAGACCTTGACTGGAAAAACCATTACTTTGGAGGTGGAAAGCTCTGACACTATTGACAATGTGAAAGCTAAAATTCAGGACAAGGAGGGTATCCCACCAGATCAGCAAAGATTGATCTTTGCTGGGAAGCAGTTGGAAGATGGGCGCACTCTGGCTGATTATAACATCCAGAAAGAGTCCACACTCCACCTTGTTCTCCGCCTCCGTGGTGGTTTCTAGATCCCTCTTGTTGATCAGCATCATATGTATGGTGTTTTGCGCTTGTTATGAAGTGTATGTGGTGTGTTCGCTTTTAGTTTTCGTTTATGAACAATAATTGTTTTGTGTTGATGTGTGGACGGTTTGTTAGTATTATGCTGCTGTATGCTGCTGTGAAGATGTTTGTTTGGAGTTCATTTTTCTTTTCTACTACGTATATTATTGCAATCAGTTGTTAACCTACGGATCTCATCGTGTTGGATCTTTAAAATATATGGCAACTTTGCTTTCAAATATTTGTGTACTCTGTTTTACATGACTTTTGCACTTTTGCTTATAAACCGGAATTGCTAAGTAATGAAGTCTCAACAGTGATACAATGCCGTAATGAGCTTGTTTATTGGTCAGTTGGATACAAAATGAAGCGGCATTATTATTGTTAGTTGATTAGTTGATTATAATAGGTTTTTTTTAATGCCCCTGGCTTCAAGTACATTTATGCATATCTTTTTGTTCTATGAAGTGTGGGACAACAAACCAGACAATAGAAAAGAGTGAAATGGGAGTAATAAGAGAGTACTTCAGCAAGTGGGTTTATGTGTAGACTTGAAAGATCTCAGGATTTATGTTCTGCCATTCCTATAGCCTTGACTCTCAGCCTCTCAGGAATACGTCTTGAACTACACTTCACCTCTCCATATAGTCTTTGACTCTCAGGAATTGGGTATATGTAGGCTCACTATATAGCAGATTGTGTAAAGGGTAGTTCAGTTTCTCCAAACCGAAAAAAGAGTTGATTTTTATATGGCATGTACTCTTCACTAAATTTTTGTAACAAGTAGGGGTACCAAAAAAGGCACGTAAGACCCATACTTGAATTTCTATAAACCTATGCTCATGGCAGATGCTCACGGCTCACCCCATTTTAGTAGACACAAGTCTTCCTCTTCTAGTTTTTGTATTATTGGAAAAATCTCTATGAATTTCTAGTTATTATGTTTGATATGACATTATTTAAGAGTTTTTAAAATGAAAGATCTTTATTAAAAAACATATTGAGTAGAATCTGAAAAAATTTGTAGATATTAGCCACAAGAACTTATTATACATTTATACCAAACACAACTAGGCCATTCCATTTTATATGGTGAAAATATACACCACTTTTTCACTCCCTGTAACCCATACAGGGGCGGATCCAGGATTCTGAGATGCTCTGAGTTGAATAGAAATTATATTAGGCTTAAATATTAAAAGGGTGGACTAAACGTGAAAAATATGAAATAATTTACACTAAAAACATTAAAAAAAATTCTGAGTTGCCCTGGGCTTCAGCCTACCATAGCCCATACATAGATCCTCCCCTGAGCCCATATATATATCCTTCCAGATGCCTCAAGAAAAACTCTCAAAAATCTGTGCTTGAAATTAACAACAGTGAAGTACTAATAGAAAGTAGAAACAATATTTCTATGTTAGACTACGTTAGAGAATAAATGTACTACTCCTACTAAATTCAAACAATCGACGGTGACTTGGTAATGTTATTTGGCGTTACTTTTGTTACGTAGTATTTTTTATGTAGACTCCATTACATTTTTGTCCAAATTTAGTTATTTTAAATAATCAACAATAGTGAAAACTCCGAATCTATTTAAATGTGTGGTTTATTCCTATAATTTGTAATATAATAAGAAGATTTAAACTATAATGCACTAGTGAAGGTTATATTTAATATGAGTGTACTAAAAAGTACAAAGTTAAAAGAAATCTTGTTAAATACATACTCCGTATATTTTTTGGTATTCTTAAATATAATTAATAGCCAAATAAAGCAAATAAATTATGAAGTATATTTAGCATATTTATACAAATTTTAGAGTTTTTCGTCTTATCAGTCAACTTTTTCATATTTTTGATTTCATGTGCTGAATTGTGTAATAATAAGAAATTATAAGGTTAGACTTAGAATGTTTTAAAAGGGATTGCTTTCAGTCTCAAACTAGATTAGACCAGACTTCCACAATTATAAAATACACAAATGCCGGATATTTATTATATTAGTTCAGACCACACCAGACTTAGACATATCAGACCAGTAAAATTTAGTCCATGTAACTTATTTTTCTGACTATGATGGTTGAAGTTACTGAAGATCTTACTTTTCTGACTATGATAGCGGGAGTTATTGTAGATGACCAATTAAGTTATTTTCACATATAATTTTATCTTATTTTATTATTAAGATATATTTTAAATATAAGTTTTTTATAAACTAGCGGAATCATCCAATTCAACTTATATTTTATAAATTCATGCAGAATCAATCCATTCAGCGAGTTTTGATATTACCATAAATATCTATATATATATATGGAAATATGGAATAAATGAATTCGGAGTTTATTATTGGGAAAAGGTACATATATACCCCCGTAATATAGGTGGAGGAACAAATATACCCCTGTTCTATTTTTTGGAACAAATATACCCCTGAACTTTAAAAAAGGTGCAAAAATATCCCTCATGTTTTTATAAAGGAGCAAATTAATTCTTATTGACTTTACATTAATAAAATAAATTTCAAAAAAAGACCAAAAATAAATTAAAAAATCGAAATTAAAAAATAAACATTTTAAAAATGTAATTTTGTCCAATTCTCCCTTTACTGTTTGTATATCACAATTTAATATTTTTAGTATAAAATATTATTTCAAAATATGTAATTTTATAGTGCAAAGAATGCAAAAAAAATAATTTTTCCTTACATTACGAAACATATGTTAGCACCTTTTCGAAAGAATCTTAAACATATAGTAAAATTTTGAAATAATATTTCATACTTAAACAATACGGAGTATTAAATTGTGATTTAAAAAACTATAAAAGGGATAATTGGACACCATTACATTTTTAAAATTTTGTTTTTTAATTTCAAATTTGTAATTTATATTTGGTGTTTTTTTAAATTCATTTTATTAATTTAAAGCCAATAAGGATTAAGTTGTCCCTTTATAAGAAAGAGAGGGATATTTTTGCACCTTTTTAAAAGTTCAGGGATATAGTTGTTCCGAAAAAAAGAACAGGGCTATATATGTTCCAACATCCATATTACAAGGGTATATTTGTTCCTTTTTCCTTTATTATTCGATACTCATAAATACTTATGAAATAATTGCCACAATATCACTAATTAACTTTTCAATTCTAAAATTATGACTTAGTTTTCTTTTTCCTAAAATATGAGTTGGATAACCCAGCTCTCCTCCCCTAATTTCCAAATTCACAATTCGTAGCCCTCCTTCATCCATCGCAAACTCCCCATCTCCACGCCTCGCAAACTTCATCCATCGCACCTTCGAATTCTCCATCACTCCTCGACCGCAAGCAGCATCCACCAACAACGAAGATCGAGGCGTCATCCGCCATGGCCGCCACCGCTGGTTAAGACTTCCTCGAAGGCCGCCGCCGCCGGTTCAGGCTTCCTTGATGGTCGCCGCCGCCGGTTCAGGCTTCCTTGATGGTCGCCACCGCCGATTCAGGCTTCCTCGATGACCGCCGCCACTGGTTCAGTCATCATCGATGGTCATCTCCACTGCTAGATTCGCCGTCCTCAATATATAGATCTGCGGCGTCGGCTAGGGTTACAAGAGGCGGCGGCAGTTTCGTGGCCGCGACGGACTCGCGATTGTGTGGGAGCAGGGGTGTTTGCGACGACTAGGGGTGGGGGTCGCGATTGTGCAAGATCTGGTCGGGGTTGGGGGTTGTTATGAGGGGTGGGGATGCGGACTGGGGGCTGGGTGATGCAGGGAAGGGGGTTGGGGTTGGTGTATGTGAGGGGCTGGGATAACAGTCAGCGATGGCGGCAGGCAATGGTGGGAGGTGGTGGTTTCCAGCGGTGATGGAGTTGGGCGAGCAGTCACTATGGCCCGCCGACATGCAGTCAATGTGGTAGGTGGGCAGGCAATCACTGTGGCCGGTGGATGGCAGTCACTGTGGCCGGTGGATAGCAGTCATTGTGGCCGGAATCGGTGTCAGTGTGTCACTATGGCCGCAGTCACTGTGGCGGCGAAGTCACTGTGGCGGTAGTCACTGTGGCGGTAGTCACTGTGGCCGGAGTCACTTTGACCGGAGTAACTGTGGCGTCGGAGTCACTGTGGCGACGGAGTCACTGTGGCCGGAGTCACGGCGGCGGCGGGGTTGGTGGCGGCGGCGGTGATGGTGGTGGTGCTGGGTTGGCGGCCAGAAAGGTGCTGGTAGTAAATGGAATAAAAGGAATATTGAAATAATAAAAAGAATATTGAAATAATAAATGTATATTAAATAAAAGGAATAAATGACTTTTAGTCACATTTTTAGAAAAATTTAAAACAAGTCACTTTTTTATCATTTTCCTTCATTTTAGTAATATTGGAATAAAAAGTCCAATACTTATTTGTAAGAATCTTCGCTAAACAAGTGACTCAAGGCAACGCAGCATAAACCGATCCCGAGTACGTAATTCTGGGTTGTTCTTTAGTTCTGCACTAAACTTTAATTCTACGCGAACTGATTAGGCGGATTAATTTTTTTATTCCGCTATTGCTGTTTTGTAAACTGAAATTTTATTGCTTTTGTAGAAACCTATGGTTCAATTCAGCATTGAATATTTTTTATGAAGTACGAGATTTTGAGATATTGCATACCTCCTATGCATCAGGACTCAAATTCGACAGTTGATTTGATTTCTTAGCTATGTATTTGCCTTATACTGTTCTCCGGCCCTAACAAGCTTCTTCCCTTGCTTGATATTTTCTTTCCGTTCATATTTCAGCATATTATGGGGTTAAATGCTCACTTGTTCATATTTCAGTATTGGTCCTTCATATACTGGGCTTAAGTTTGTTAAAGCTTCCGGTGCATTATATAATGATAGATCATACCTGATGCCACCTTCTAGATTAGCTTACTATTCTTTTGTTCTAGGTTTAGTTTTAGGTTCATCCACATTTGTAAAAACTTAACTAGTACAAAACTCTAGTTCATCAAGAAAGTGATACTTTCCCTCTAAAAATAAAATACAACAGAGAGCCACCCAAAGCATACAAATACTACATTCCAATGATAACTTGACAGCCCTGATAGAGTCTATCTCAACATGGAGTTGAGTATATTTACCTGACTCACAGCTCTAATCCATCTAGGAGTTCCAGAAACAGCAACATATTCATCTTTATCATCATCTCATATAACCCCTCTTGCCCATCATCTATCTTTTTTCTTAACAACTCCTTCAGAATTTATTTCAATCTGTTAAGGATGTCTACTCTAATAGAATCTGGAAACTCTAAAAGTCCCTTCTTGCTACATGTTTTGTTCAAAGAAAGTATTCTTCCAAAGCCTAATTATCTGTCAAAGCTGCAGCCTCTCATCAACTTCCATATCTTTGTGTTCTAGGTTATTTCTAGCTTTCTTAATTCACCAAATAAACATTACAATGAGATCTCTAAGCTTCTTCAGATCTCTACGATTTTCCCTATCTGATAGAGGAGCTTTCATCTCACATCTTTTAGTAATATTAGAACGGTGGAACAAAAAGGCGAAACTGGTTGATCCTTATTTCCAAGTGAAGGGGTTCCTGCTTGTATTTATAAAATCATTGTGGACAGACCCTAGCAGTTTGTTTATATTCAACTTCATACCATCCCTTAATTCATTGACTGTTACAGTAGATTTCTAGCCACATCACCTTTTCTAAATCATCATCTAATATGAGGCTCACCTGTTTGTTTAATCGTTTAGAATCACTTGCAAACATGAGGAGTCTATACATTTTAAGTAGGTCTCAGCACAGTGAATGTTATCATGATATTTAGTCATGAGAACTTTTGGCCCAAAGGGATTTATGTTTTTTGAAGTTCCACCAAATGTGTGATCAAAAGCAAGGTTCATATCTTTGTGTTCTAGGTTATTTCTAGCTTTCTTAATTCACCAAATAAACATTACAATGAGATCTCTAAGCTTCTTCAGATCTCTACGATTTTCCCTATCTGATAGAGGAGCTTTCATCTCACATCTTTTAGTAATATTAGAACGGTGGAACAAAAAGGCGAAACTGGTTGATCCTTATTTCCAAGTGAAGGGGTTCCTGCTTGTATTTATAAAATCATTGTGGACAGACCCTAGCAGTTTGTTTATATTCAACTTCATACCATCCCTTAATTCATTGACTGTTACAGTAGATTTCTAGCCACATCACCTTTTCTAAATCATCATCTAATATGAGGCTCACCTGTTTGTTTAATCGTTTAGAATCACTTGCAAACATGAGGAGTCTATACATTTTAAGTAAGTCTCAGCACAGTGAATGTTATCATGATATTAAGTCATGAGAACTTTTGGCCCAAAGGGATTTATGTTTTTTGAAGTTCCACCAAATGTGTGATCAAAAGCAAGGTTCATCACATCCAAATTCTTAATCCCTAAACTTCCTTCCAATTTAGGAAAACATACCTGATACCAAGAAGCTCAGTGAATATGGTTCTCGTTAGAGGCACCCTTCCCACACATAAAGGTGTTGAACAAATTTTATTGGAGATCAAAATGCTTTTAGGAGGGCTGAGTGCCCAAGTGTTCGAATAAGATAAATATCCATACATATTCAACCGAGATCGTAAAGGAGTGAGTCTACATCCAGAGGACATGAACTTCAACTTCAAGCCAACCAATCTGATAGAGTCTGAGGAAAGCCTAGACCTTTGTTACAAGTCAGGATTGTCAAGGGGAAAAACTGTGCTCAACATGTGCAAAAATATTGTATAGTATAATCCATATTGCAATCTATAAGAAATCAAGGAAATTAACAAAGAACAAATGGGGTCTTCTTGTAGCATATAAGGTATTGAGAGACTAGCAGAATTTGTGACTCAGAGTTTAGAAAACCCTTGGCTGATGAGAAAATTATATTTCTTGTGAATACCTTTAGTGGGAACTGGAAGAAACCTTGTCTTTCTCTCAAACAATCCTTATATGGCATAAAACAATCACTCAAGCATGGTTTGGCAGGTTGGGTGAAGTTATAGATAATTTTGGTTTGGTACAAAGCAAGGTTGATTGCTCAGTTTTCTACAAGCATTCACGTGGTAAGAAAATATATCTTCTCGTTTATGTTGGTGATAATGTCATCACAAGGAATGATATGGAAGGAATTACTAAACTAAAGAAACATTTGTTTTAAAACTTCTAAACCAAGGATCTTGGTACTTTGGTAGACTAAAATATTTCTTGCCATAGAAGTAGGCATGTTATAAGCTGCACATGGAATTTGTGTGCTCCAAAGGTAGCATTACTAGACTGATGAAGGAATTGGCATGTTGAATTGTAATCCTGGTGACACAGCAATGGAGCTTTATGTAAAACACATGCCAGGACAGGGGAGCTATTGACCAACGTAGTGAAATATTGGAGGTTGGTATGAAGGCCTTTGCAGCGTGGTTAATCAGCTGTCATTTCAAGTGTGGCTCGTGAGTTTCTGAAGTCTCCATGGTTCCATGCACAAGCCATTGAGGTGCTGTTTTCCGAATTCAGAAACCACAGAACTCAGAGATATATAAAGTATCCAGGAAATGTCCTATAACATGAGAATTATCGGCATCCAAAGCGTGTTTGTTACATAGATGGTGACTGGCTGGATGTCCTAGTATAGAAGATCAACATCATCATATTGTGTTATTGGGGAAGCTTAATCTCATAAAAAGTAAGAAATATTATGTTGTCTCACACCCAAGTGTTGAAGCCAAATAAAGGGCAATGGGTTTAGTAGCACGTGACGAGGTGGGTGAAAAATGGTCTCATTGAGCTTGACTTCTACAAGATCAAACCAATGAAAATGATTTGAAGCCTAACATGTTACATCCAACCACATAGTTCATGAAAGAACTAAGCATATTGAAATTGATTGTTGTTTTATCCGTGAAAAGATTATTTCTGGAGAAATTGGTATACATTTGTTCCAAATCAACTCGTGGATGTCATTACCAAATATCTCGAGGCCTAGATTTGAGTGTGTATGTAATAATCTTGGAGCATAGGATTTCCGTGCTTCAGCATGAGAGGAGGGGGGGGGGGTGTTGGAATATGTCGTGACTACAGTAGTCCTGCAGGCTTCTAGAACAACTGTTAAGTTTATATAGCGTGTTATATGTTTCTATATATCATGCTCTTTGTACTCAGATATTTGCGGCTTTGCGCAAGTAAAATAACAAATTCTGTCTACCATTTAATTCAATAGTTTCAAATATGATCATCTTTAAGTGGTGAAACTATACCAAATCTAGTGCTCGGGGGCCTATCAAAATTCCCAATCAAATATTGCTTTTGTAAATCTGTTATGTGGGTTCTCATTCATCTATTATTCTTAACTATTTATGATATATATCTTCAATTCAGCTATACATGTTTGCTATTTGTCCTTTTTTTGCAACTGTTTCTTCACTTTTCTTCTTTTCCTCATTTTGTCCTTTTCCTTATGCAGAAGTTTATCTGGCTGTATCATCCAGTCTGCTAGATGACCTGAGTAAGTTCACCATGGCAGATGTGCCGGGTTATTTGCTGGCCTGCTTACAAACTGGGAAGCTTGCTGCCTTGGCAATTCTAGTCTCAGGGGGCATTGTGTTGCAAATACTAGTAACTACTACTTTTGCAGATATTCTATGTTTTTTGTTTTATAAAAGAAAAGGGGAATGTTGTAAATATTGAAGGGTATGTACAATATGAATAATATGTGTAATAGGAAAACTTTTCCTTTATTAATTTCTCTAAGCTCTCTTTTACTTTTGCCAGGCCTGTGCTCTGTACAATAACTGGTGGCCAATGCTTACAGGTAGGTTGATTCACACATGAATATGTTTATGTATTTGTGATGCTTCAGTATGTTCTGCTCTCAAATTATATAGATGAATGATACTCTTTCCATCCTCAAACAAAACCACCCATTGACCTGAAATGGAGATTAATAAAATGAAAAGTGTGTGGTCGAGATTTATTTGGAGAAAAGAGAAACAATATGAAGTTATGAACTACATAATGCTCTTTAAAAAAGGGAAAATGAGATAACTTTGGGACACACGGAAAGGGAAAGGGAGAAGATGATTTCGTGACGAGGGTGACAGGGTGTGATTAATACGGAGTAATTGCCAATATGTATATTTTTTTTCTTCATATGGGACATGTGATTATTGAAACTATCTCTACTCATCAATCATCATCATCTCATGATATTTTCCATGTAAGTGGAGAAAACTTGTGATGATGACGGTTTTGAAATTTCAACTCATTTTTCATCCTTCATAAGAGAGCAAGGGTGTCTGATGTGAAATTTTGTGAATGTGCTTTTTTTTTGCATAAATTTAAAATGATAATTTAGACAATTCATTAACACTGCAACTTTTGTGCTGCCAATCCCGACATAGTTGGGAGTTGGGACAAAGGCGGTGGTGTTGATGATGACGACAAGTTATGACATACTCCACAGCTATGCATTTACTCTTTTACTCTTCAATCAATGCACTTGAGATTTAACACATTTTTAGTCATGCTTGATTGAAAGATAAAAAAAATTGCCCTCTCTGCTTAAAGGCTTCATGTCATGTTTTCTTTGAACCTCCCTTCCTATCTCTCCTTTCTTGGAATAAATCATCAATAACCTTCAACATGACACTGTTATTATAGACGCTAAAACACTGTATATTGTATTGGTGCATCGACACTAAAGCCCCTTTTCTAGCATGAAATGATGAAATGCAAGACTAGAGTCCCCTCACCACGAATTAAATAAATGGCTCTTCCTAATATTGACCCAACACTGTTCCTTTATATCATCATCTGTTTGCAAATTAATTGCATAATACTTGAGTTGTAAATTCGATTTTTGCAGTGATAATGTATGTTATGCTACCGATGCCACTGGTTTTCTTTGCTGGGTCAGATACTTCATCTCTATATTCTGAGTCTTCAGATAGGTAAAGACTCTTTCTGTCTCGCACAGTTTCTTAAGATCATATATATATATAGATAAAACACACCATATCAGCTGTTGAGTTGCTTCATCCTTGCAGTTGGATCGACGCAGCTAAGTTCTTAACTGGGGTTTCAACAGTTGGAAGCATTGCAATCCCAGTTATTTTAAAGCATTCTGGCGTGATTGGTTGGGGAGCCATGGCAATGGAACTCTCGTCATTTTTCATTTTCGTGCTAGCAATTTTTTGCTTCGTTACAATGAGTGATGATGACGATGGATATCATATGATCTGATGTAAATGCATGATTTGATCCTTGCGCTTCTCTATGTCCAGCTGTTTAGCTACCTTTTACGTTTGCTAATTTAGCAGTGATATCTATCCCACGCTTTGCTTTGTAAATACATCACCATTGTGGTTTGTGAAAATTAATGTTCTTCGCCTGTGTTTGGTATGGTCGTCACTTCTCATGCATAGGATTGTACCCAGGAATGAACTTTGCGATGGAATCCTAAACGTAATTTAATGGAATCTCCATACCATTATGCTTCCTTATTTATGAATAAAATGTTTTGCTACGTATTAATTGCATTATGCTTTTTATGCAGGATAGTATTTTTTTGTATTAGTTTTCTAATTAAAAAAACAATTAAGAGTATCTCTACGTTGGAGGTGAATGTGCATAGATGTTACTAATATAAATCCTGATCATAGTATACTACTATACTCTAATAACGCATACCATCAAGGCATCAATATAATTAACGTGCAAGTGTCATTTAAATGTGAAAATAATATGATAGTGATAAATATGCAAATATAGCTACAATATATTTTATACTTATCATAAAACTTTATATTGTAGTTTTTTTTATGGTAAAAAAAGCTACAATATGGAGTTTTATGAGAAGTATATACTCCGTAGCAAATATAGTCATAAGTAGGGATGGACTCGGGCCGGGCGGCCCGAACCGGAACAGGCCCGGCCCGGCGGCCCGAACCAGAACCGGCCCGGCCCGGCCCGGCGGCCCAGCCCATGGGCGGTTCGGGTCGACCCGGCCCAGTGGCTACCGGTTCCGGGCCCGGGCCTTCATTTTGGTGACCGGCCCGGCCGGTTCGGTCCCGGTTCGGGCCGGATTTAATTTTTTTTTTATTTTTTTTTAAGTTTTTTGGGTTGGATTGGTTATTTTGGGCCATTTGAGGTGGTTTGGGGTGGTTTGGGGTTGAGGGGGAGGGTACGGGGTTGATTAGGAAAACCAAAAAAAAAAATATATAGAACCGGAACCGGGCCCGGCCCGAACCGGACCCGGGGTTACCCAGGCCGGTTCCGGGCCTCCCCTACCTTGAACCGAGGCCCGGCCGATTCAAGGCCCAAACCGGGCCCGGCCCGGAACCGGTCCACCCCTAGTCATAAGAAAAACCAAAATGTTAGAAAAATGATGATAAATGGATAAAAATTGTACAAAATAAGAGAATAAAGAATGTCTCACTTCATAAAAAATTAGATTCAAAGCCTGTTTAGTAATATGGAATTAACCTAATCGGATAAAAAGATTATATGAAGCTAACGGCACTCAATCCTAGCCTGGGTCTTTTGTTCGAATTATCAGTCCTATTATCCCTCCTAGCAATGCGTATAATCGTAATCTAGATACTAGTAGTCCACAAGTGTTAGGTCTCGGGTTCGAATCCCGGCAACTGCGATGAGGGGTTACTATGTTGAAAAATGTATAGGATCTCTGCAAGTACCGGGGACAGAGCCCCACTCTCTATCTTGTGATTATAGTCCAATTTACATCCTCCCATCGTGCCGTCCGATCGGTGGTGGGGCACTCAGGGATGGGGTGTCATCTTTTTTTTTAGTAATCGAGATACCGTCTTCTTCATATTTTGTGCCCATTTATCAAAATAAATGTCAAACACTCCATCCTTCCATCAACTCAAAAATGGTGAAAAAGTGGGTATAAAGTCAAAAAAAAAATTGAAAGTAGGAGCAAAGTCAAATTCTTTTTTATTTTTCCTTGTCATACAGTGAGTCCTTCCACGAGGTGCTCGGCCTTGGTAGTTTTTTGCAGACAATTGGCGTAATAATCAAATAAGCTCTCTCCCAATTTAAGGAATCAGATCCATAATGGACGACCAGCAGAGGGCACTCCTCCTTCAATCAGCTGCTCAGTTCCCGCCCCCCAAAGGTCAAATTTCTCCCATTTCCTCACGTTTCCGGTTTCTGCAAAACATTTATATTAGCGTTCTTGAAATGTTCTGAACAGGGGTGAAGCTGTCATATGGCACATCAGGGTTTAGAGCTGATGCGTCAGTGCTCGAATCAACAGTCTTCCGGGTGGGGATTCTGGCTGCACTGAGGTCGCTCAAGACTGGTTCAGTGATTGGTCTTATGATCACTGCGTCTCACAATATCGTTTCAGATAATGGAGTCAAAATTGCTGACCCGTCTGGCGGAATGCTGACTCAAGAATGGGAGCCCTTTGCTGACCAGCTTGCCAATTCCCCAAATCCTAGTTCTGTTCTTGAGGTTTCATCTGTATCTCTCTCTATTCAGAAATTCCATCTAATCTATGCTGAAATCATGCTCAGTTCTTAAGCATTGACCAAAACAAAATATGCAGCTGGCCTGTTCTATCATAATTTGCAAAGTAGTAATCTAAAGAATGAGAAATGCTTAAAAAAAGTGGAAAACAAAAGAAGATTGATGTGAAGTGGAGATGCTTAGGTCATTTTTAGACATATAAGAGGCATCATATGACTCAAATTGAGTGTTAAGTGAAATAAAAAAGGGAAAAATGAGGAGTTATTTATTAACACTTTTTGAAAAGGTGGTAAAGAGGTGTGCTTCAATGTGAGGCCTTCATGGCGGGTGTTGAGGTTTACCCATTCTTGCATGATAGGAGGCTTACACCATAAAGTGCAGTGCAAGGAGCGTCATGATGAAACACATGCATGAAATCTTTAAGAATTATTAATGACATAATGACACAATATTCAATTCCTTAGTTTTCTATCTGCACGAGTAATCAACTAGACATGTGTTTGTTCCTTTGTTTAATTTCTTTTTTCATTAGTAGCCAATATAGTAGAATAGATGCTTTAAGTTTTTCTAGCAAATAGTAAAATAGTTTCCACTATACGAATCAAGTTCTATATTCGGTCATTGAGTTATGAGTACTTGTTCAATAATGAGTACTATACTTGAGGTCTTATTGCACGTGTCTTTCCTTGTTAGAGACCTGGACTTATGGACTTAATATGTTAGTAAAATGTAATAGTGGGCTGGGCCAATTAATTAGATAGATTGAGGGAAGCCCATTAGAAAAAGAATACATAAGGTGAGCTGGGAGGAGAGAGGGGAGGTTGGAATTATCTTAGGCTTGGGACTGGGAGTCGGAACCTTGTTGCGACTTGGGAAATCTGTTTCGTTCTCTATCTACTTTCTGTTGTACGAACTGAACTACCACCATTGTTACATATTGGATTTTCTCCATTATTAGCTCTCAAATTTACAGTAACCTAACATTTTTTGAGGGAAGCCCATTAGAAAAAGAATACATAAGGTGAGCTGGGAGGAGAGAGGGGAGGTTGGAATTATCTTAGGCTTGGGACTTGGGACTGGGAGTCGGAACCTTGTTGCGACTTGGGAAATCTGTTTCGTTCTCTATCTACTTTCTGTTGTACGAACTGAACTACCGCCATTGTTACATATTGGATTTTCTTCATTATTAGCTCTCAAATTTACAGTAACCTAACATTGGTATCAGAGCCTTCGTTCCTGTAGCCTATCAACGGTCGTTACACGCAGAGCGATGGAAGGAAGATTGGAGAAATTGGAGCGCGAGTTGGCGAGGCGATCCGCAAACATGAAGCACGAGTTGGCCAGGTGGTCCGCAGAAATGGAGCGCGAGTATGAGAGGCATCGCGAAGAGGACAGAATCAGTAATGAGAAGGCCAAGCGCGATTGCGAGGAGATACGCGAGATGATTAGGAAGGAGCTTAATCACCACTTTAGCGGTCGATCAAAAACCTCCAAAACGAGTGCGCGGAATGGGAGCCGCGACTCCAGATCCTCTGCAGGTAAGTCGAGAACTTCGTCTCACCGTTCGAAGTCGCGAACCGTTTCTGTGAGTTCGCAGGATTGGTCGCAAACTTCTTCTCCTAGTCCGTCAGCATCCTCACGAGCACAAGAGTCCAATTCGAAATTCGAAGTTGATGTTACCAGCTCGCAGGTTACTTCGCAGAATTCGTCGCTACTGGCTTCGCTGGGATTACAAGCTTCGTATCCGGCTATAACTGTTACTACTATTTCGCCACGGTTAAATGAGCATAACCAATTGTCAACACAAATTTCGTCTAAGGTTTCTGAGTCGGCTCAAGTTTCTAAGCAGGGGGTTTTATTGTTGACACCAAATCTGGAATGGAAACAGGCAGATACTTCAGTTCTGGAATCAAATCCTGACAAGGACACTAATCAACAGACAGGATACTCACCAGAAATTCTGGTGGAATCCAAACAGCTCAAACCTGATATTCCTTACAATCAGGAAGGAAATTGTACCTACCACCATGATCCTGCGTTGGGAATGAACAACAGTTTCACCGGGGCTGATGAGGAGAGCAGGTCTCACATACGAATCCATACTTATGATACTCCAAGTGTGCACCGTCAGATATCAAAGGGGATTTCAAAAGGTTTGACTAAGTTTGAGAGCTTCAGATTTGATGGAGATACTTCTAGTAAGAACACTCAAAATGTATTGGGGGAAAGAATGACTGGAAATTGGAAGAAAATGGGTGGATATACTACTGATGGATACACTGGCATGTTCCTGGGGTTTGACCTGGTGTATATGACCAGTACATCAACCTTGCCTATCTTAGATCCACATGTTTCATCTGATAGGACTAAACTTGCATTTGGGAAACTCAGTGAGCTTAAGGATGAAAGAAGGACTGATGCAGAGGCACAAGAGAACCATGCTCACCCCTGTTCTGGGAAATCAGATGCAAAGATTCCACTTGGGGTAGAGTTTTCACATGGAAGTTTTGTAGATCGTATGGAGGTTGTGTGCAAAGGAAAGTTTGCTATTCAAGATAGATTGGAGGGAATCCTCAGCTCATACACTGATGCTATTGATGAACGTAACTGGGCGTCCTTTCCTGTACCTGTGATTCGAAGAGTACAACCGGAGCTGGCTGGCTGGGAAATTTTCTCACAATTCACTTCTAAGAACTCTCGTACTGAACCTCATATTGCATTTACCATTTTGGCTGCTCTTTGTGGAGAATCTGCAACTATCCTTAAAAAAAACATTAATTTGGGATGCTGACAGGTATTTACGAACTACACTTGAACATTACCATCAGTTAGCTACCAAGTTGGGCTCAGGATCATGTCATTATATGTACGTTGGTTCCAATAGAGTAGCAATGGGTATTGATGGATTCCGATTAGATAGTGTTACTTCTATGATGTGCACTCAACATGTTGGATATGTTACTGAGTTTGAAGCTGACGTGAATCTGAGACAGATCAAAGATCTCTTTCTTGGTCTCTTCACAGATGTCTTAATCGTGGGCGA